TTCCCCTTCTCTGATGCCTTTTACGTTCATTGTCTACAGAGAAAAATTGCACACAAAGGACACCAACCAAGCATCAAGGCTGTGAAAGTAGTGATCTCACTTGAAAATGGTAGCAACATGTCGCTTTACAATCCTCCACCTTCAGGACAGCTTTGCCGGGGCGACAGACTGTCACAGACCCCACTTATGCAGATGTTCATGGACCAACTCAACAGCTGCCAAGGTCACAGAGGAGGCTAGGATAGGGCAGCAACAGGCTAGAGGTTGTACCTGCCGCAGAGAAAGAAGCCTTCAAACTCCATTCACTGCCATGCAAGAGGTCTCAAAAATCAAAGCTCCTCTTTCCACCGTAAACAGGGGAGAAACTCAAAAAATAGAACCTGGTGCCTTCTAGGTGCAAAAAGACTATCTTGCCCTAAGAACAGTAGTACAAAGGAGCTCCTTTTCCCTTACAACATCGCCAGAGCCCAGTGGTGGCGATTCTGGAAAAGTCCTTATCAAACAGTTTGGCTTTGTTTCAAGTGGATACAAGAGATACTGAAACAAAGAAATACCTGAGGGTAAGCTGTAGCCATCTCCCACCCCCATGCAACTGAGCCAACTTATACAGATGACACTGGATGGGCTCTTCCTTCATTAGGCTTGTAGAGAATAAAAGTGGTGGAGGGAAAGTGTTAGTTCTTCATTGCACACTGTGCTGTGCAATTAGAGAAGTGCTGTAAAATGGGAAGCTAGACCGATGGCATTTCATTGAAAGCTACCCAAGCAGAGCTATCGCTAGACCTAGTCAGTGGGCTTCCAAGAGAAAAGAGGATGAATCGGACTGCAGACAAACCAGCTGGAGAAACCAGGAACAGAAAAGGGACAATCCAAACAAACCAAACACCCAAACTGCCCCTTCACCTCCAATAAAAGGCTCTCTGGACATATGGTATGGAAGCTGCAACGTGACAGCTGTTGGGAGTGCCACTGGAGGAACGGTGCTACCCCCAGACCCTATTATTTTATTCAGATGGCATCTCCAGGGCAGGACTGCAATGTCCAGAACTGCTTCCCAATGCACATAAACAGGGTTTCCAAGAGCATGGCTATCTCCAGGTGTGCGGGTATGTACTTTGCTCTCAGTGTGTGAAAGCTAAAACAGAGACTGTTGGGACCAGTAAGATCACAGGTTAAAAGCTCTGCTGGTGGAGCTGCCCAGAGACGGACTCTGTCCTTGCTGCCCTTTGAAAAAGGGACAGACTACACAGAGAGCAAAGGAGTTATGGAATATCTGTACCACGCACAGGCAGCTCCTGCTTTCAGCCAAACCTTGGGAAAAAAAGCAAACCAAACTCAAATACTCCTGTATTTCAGAGAGCAGCAGCCGTTTGACTTCTCTGTCATGTGCTGGCTGCACAGCAGGTGATAAATGCAAGGATTTTACATGACTGTCCAAGCACCCCAGTAGCTGAGACACTTGTCTTCACACAGGAGGGCCCATGGCCAAACTCCTCCTGCTAATTCATCTCAGTATCAGCCAGGAAAAGAGCTTTCTGTGCACTGTCCTCCTGTGTTATTTGCTGAATAAAATTCTTCCTTATTAACAGGCCAAAGTCCAAGAAACGGCCACTGGAACAAACAAGGTTCTGTGCAGATGTAATCCCCACCTCACCACTGGGGAATTAAAGCAAAGAATTAGACTGTAGCCGTTCCCTTCCAGCACGATGAATTCTTAAGCAGGTTACGGCTTTGCACTGCAGACGCTTTCTGGGGAGAAGAAATAATGACTTCTTTCCCAGCCCGACTCACTTGCTACTCTCCGGGAAACAAGCCTGAGGATTATTTTTTGACAAAACAGTTAAGAACGATCACTGCATGTCAGTATGTTTGAAGTGTTAACCTCGAGGGTTGCTGAAAGTGCCAGTATTTCTCCAGCCTATTCTTTTCCCTTCAGTGCTGTTTGTGATATGCAGGAAGAAGGAGCCTGGCTAACATGAGAGATACCAGCTAACAGGACAATCTTCTCACTGCTGCTGCAGCAAAAATTCATACACTTGCTGGAGAAAGAAAGGTCCCAATTTTCCACACAGAAAAGCGTGTCCTTCAGAGACTTACATCAGGTTTGTTAAGAACTGCAAGAACAAAAGTTACCTGGAGATGAAAAAAAAGTCACTTGCTGCTGGACTTGCTACCTAAACTGCTCACAAAAGGTGAAGATTTACCCTGTAAATCTTGAGCTCCGCCTGGCACTTCACCAGTCAGATCCAGAAGCAGCTGATGCACTTGAGACAGACATGAATGGTGCTCTTTTGCAGGAAGGTGAGATGCTGCAATTCATACAGATTTTGATCCTGTTCAAGCCCATGGGCTGATTACGTGCTATGCAAAGACCAAGTGAGATTCCTCTTCCCGAGACATTTACAGCCAGACTGGAAGGGGAAGCATGTAGTGAAGCGGAGCCCTGTCACTGTTACAAGGCATCCTAGATGGTAGATCCTGAATTCCTCCAGACCATGAAAAGCTTACAGCGTATGGAAATAAGGAACAGGGATGGAGCAACAGTGGAGACTGCAGTCAGCGCTAACCATGAGAGGAAGCTTTATATGTGGTGGTGACTAATCAGAAAGAAAAGCATGGACTGGACACAAACCCGAAGGGCAGGGGTGTTGTGTTGGTAGAGTTAGCAGGATGCAGAGTATACAAGTCTTGCCAGCAGATCATCACTTACTAGCAAACAGCAAAGAAGAGGTGATGAAGCTGCCACTCCATGACACTACTACCCATGGTGGGTTTTGCACCTAGCTTCCACACCATGTCGTAGTAGAGGATGGCCTTAGCATGCTCCTTCCTTCCCCTGTGTTGCCTGGAACGTGACCTGCTCTCCTGCAAAGCCCTGCTTCAACACCCCAGCTGCACGCTCTGTATGGGAAATAAAGGGATGTTATATGCTGCCAAAACCATAGCTCAGTGGAAGCTACATGGGCACTGTAACTATTGGCAGTAAATTTGTGTGTCTATGAGAGCCAAGGGAAGAAAGTCAAAAGGGTCCAGGCAGAGAGGACTGCTGCTTCGAAGTGCAGCAGCACTGTCTGGTTCACAGAGATAACCTGGGGCGCCAGTGGGACACGCAGCTCCTTGAGGACACTGGCCTGGCTAGACCTGGGATTTTGGGATTTGCTCCAAGTACAACCAGAGGCGCACATGGTGCAACACAACCCCCCACTACTGATGAGCAAAACCACCACATCAGCTTACCTTTGTTTCAAGCTGGAATAATTTCCAGAGAGATGAATAGCAGTGTGGCTGCTAGAGGCTGTACGGGGGTGGTTACAATCCGGACTTGTCACCAGTGATTGAACTGAGGAATCTGCCTTGTGCCAACTGGGCAGAGAAATGAGTGCCATGGACGTCACAGACACAGAGGCGATGCTGGATGAGCATGCGCCTAGCACGGCAAATCTTCAGGGACAGCACGGTTCATTGACCAAGACTCCCTCTAGAGAACGGGAATCTCCAGGTTTCTTGCTCTGCCACGTGCTGTGGCCCTTGGAAAAAAAACATTCTCTTCCTTTGGTGACTTCTTTCTTAAAATGAAGCTCTTCAAGGGAGGCTTTGTGTCCTACTGTTATTATGAAACCAAATCTGAGTATTTCCCCCAGCTACCACCAATAATAAAAAAGACGATACTACCAATAGTAGTAATAACATTTTTGTACATATGCCCCCTGAACAAATGCAACGAGGGACATTCTGGCAGCAGAATTGTTTGTCACCTCCTCTTCTGGGAACAGAAGCAGAACGTGTAACATCTACTTTCAATCAAACCCCACAACTCCCAAATTGCAAACAGCAATAGCTGTAAAGATCCATTTGTCTATTCTCAACCTAGTGATTATTTTATGAAAATGTTTAGCCACCATTTTAGTGTTCTAAAATGTAATAACTTATTCTATTATTTGTTTATGAGAAGTCCTGAAACAGAGTAATTCAGCAATGCTACTGATTATAAAACTTTGACTCTGTACTAAATAGAGATGGTATAGTTTCTAAATTTCTCCTTAGGGTTTGGTTATTACAAACCTATTGAATATTACAGTGTCGCAAGTAGTTTTTCGATAGTTAATTCCTATTCAGGGATGAAATCCTCTTTTTTTCATATTTTAATGAATTTTCTCCAAACCGGTAAAATGTGTAGACTTTTAATTCCAACCACAGAAAACAGTGCCTGAACCAAAACAGTAATAGCTGCACAACACTTCCTCATTCCACCACCTCAGTAACACTGCTACAAACAAAACCTTCCCACATGATAAATGTTATTGCAAACTATTTCCATCCACAAAGCCAAACAATTCTCTCCATCAGCACTCACCCAGTGCCAAGAGCCTGCAGCTCCCAAGCACATGCCAACCCCCTTCTTTGACACACAGCCCACTCCACCTTTGGCAGAGGCTGAGAGAGACCTTCAGCCACCACGGGCAAAGGTGGCACATTTAGTATGGAGAGAGCTGGGTGTTACGAAAGGGGGATAAACCACAGCTTTCAGTGATGAGCCAAAGGAGCTGACTCGCCCCTCCACAGCACTGTTAATGTCGTGGGGATGATAGCAACTACTCATCTTCGAGTGCTCTGTTAAAGAGTGAGGCTGGATGAACAAGCTGGAGATGCAAGATGCAGTGTGCTTGTGGAGGTTTGTGGACAAAGGCCAGCTCATTTTAATACAACGACATACAGATGGTTTTGCTTTTTCAAAAACACTTAAGCTGCTCTTTAAGACTTGCGTGTGCTCTTCTCCCAGCATTAAAATATATTCATATTCCATGTGTGACATGCTGTATACAGCACAGCAGCAGAGTCAGTGTGTTTAAGTGATCAAAGCACCTTTCATAGCTGTACTACTAGCACTGACAAACAGATCTGTTTTACAAATGCTTTGGTTTATAATCTCAGCAAGAGATGACATGTTTTCCTCCTCCACCCGCAGCCTGGATAGTGAAGTGGCACATGCTGACACCTACCTAGGAAGCCCTCTTCATCCACAATGATGGTGTAGTCCTCTGGGGTTTCCGTGAGGCTGAAGAACTTGCACCTGGCAAAAGCAAACAGCAGCAGAATATGATTAGCCATTGGACTGAGAGGAGCCTGGTCGTCCACCTAAAACGAAGGTCCTTTCCCACCCAAACTGTGCCAGAGGAAAGAGTCATGATCTGATGTTTACGGAGAGGCCTGAGGCTTTAACAGACCTGGATTTTATTCCCGGCTCAGCCACTCACACTGCGTGACCCACATTCCCTGCTGCCTGCCTATGCACAACAGAGCTGACAAAACACTTATTATTTTTATGACTTAGTTACTTTTTGTAATAACCTTATCCCTTAGGGCTTCCTGTCACAGCCCAGGACCCGCTGTATCGCACTGACAGAGCAAAAGGCTTTGCTCACCGACTGATCGCTCCAACGCCCTCCAAAAGCCTTCCCATGGTTCACACATGCACCCATCTTCCCTCTTTGCCCACTGCAGTTTCTTGCTTTGTCAAGGTTTGACATCTAAGATCTCCAGCAAGCCCCAATATCTCTTCTTCCTGCTTCGGAGGCTTTTCCCACCAGCAGGCAGCATCCCAATTAATTCCCTCGGCTGGTCCTTGCCCCTTCCCTCAGTAGGTGCCTCCCTTCCCTGGGGAGCTCCAGATGAAGAGTCAAGTGGTAGGGGCCATCGAGCATCACAAGGTTGAGCTTCTCCCTCTCTCAATCTCCTACTGCCTCTGTTCTGCTCCGTGCTCATCTTTTGACACTGCAGGCTATGTGTGGCACAGCCTCTCCACCTCCTTCAGCACTGAGCACAATGTCACCTCTAATGTGAGATACAAAATAAATGTGACACAGGACTCTTCACTGTAGACACACCAACAAAAAAAGCCTCAGCCGTAACGCTTAGCACCACAAATAGTTGAAAAGTTTTTTTTCACTGACACACCAACCTAAGTACAGCAACACCTACTAAAAAAAACAAAAAAAAAAAACCAATGCAAACTTTCTCCAGCTTCTATTCAGTTGGTCCCCAGCAACGGCAGAAAGGTTTGCAGGTTTTGCAAGGTCATGTTCACCTTCAGCACAGCATGGACCTGTCAGGCATCAGCACAGCACAGGCCGGCTCCCCCGACCCACGCAGGGCTCGTGGCCCCCCCCAGGAGCATGCCAGAGCACATGGACTGTGTTTGCCGCCCAAGCCACAAGAAAAATTTTGCCCTCTGGGAAGCTAAATCAGTGCAACAGGAAGAGCCAGCAGGACGAAAGAGCAGGATTTCACAGTTACAGTGTAATACTATCAGATTTATCTGAGGCAACCTATAGGAAATGTTTCCAATACCGGAAAAAAAAAAAAGATTGTTCTTAAGGCACCCAGTTTTCACAGTCTGTTCACAGAGCAACGCCTTCACGGAGCACAGTTCAGAAGGACTCAGCAACTAGGGACTACCAGGGCTTCTCAGCACTGCTGAGCATCTGTGTCCCGAGATCTTCAGGACTTCTGAAAGCCAGGAACCCCACACGCTGGTGGCTCAAGACACCAGAAACTGGAAGCATTCATTTGATTAGAGAATCAGACCAAAAACTGGCTTAAGAATTCTTTTGACTTGCTGAAAAGAAAAAGGATTGCAGCTATTCCCTCCAAAAATAACAGAGAAAAATGAGATGGCTGCTGCCCTCCCCCTCACCTCATCAGGAAAACTAGAAGAAACAACATGCAGCTCTACTAGTGACGTGCCACGTAACCAACAAGATTTCATGTAAATGGAAACTATCAGACAACCTGCCTTTAGAGAGTTGTCCTGTTTTCTGGAAGCATCTGTCACGACAATCAAGCATGACACTCTCCTTCCTAGCACAGACGTATCACCATAAAACATGGAAGTGGCCCCACCACAACAGAAACCACAACTTAATTATTCTGTGTCATTGGTAATAGTAAATGTGGCTGTCACAGCAGCTAACTCAACTCTCTCCAGGAACAGAGCCAAGAGAAGCAGAAATCAGTAGCAGCCCAAATTTTTTACTCTCAGTTCTTAACTACACAAGGATGTTACCTGTGCAAGGGGTGATACAAGCTGGGTAAAAAGAACTTCTGGGATGCTGCTCCAGATGACTCGCAGGAGGTATAAGCATTTATTTAGTGGGCGAGCTCCCTGGAGAAGTCACTGTAATAAAATTCTTTGCTGCTACTACTACCTGACCAAGCCACACACATGCTGACTAGGGAGAAGCTAGTGGTCTTCAAGGAGGAAATGTTCCTATTAAAAAAAAATAAAAAAAAGTCTTCCCTGATCTGTGATGACATTTATAGAGGAATTTTTTTTTCCAGAACACTAATACATGTCTTTGTGCACACATCGGCCCCAGCAGAAAAAGTAGGATTGTGACAGATGCCATTTTCTTAGCACACATCTAAAAGTGATGATATTTAAGGGATATGTATAGATGAAATCCCGTAATTGCTGGCTCAGAACACATGTCAAAACCTCACATCTTCACATACCAGCTCAAAGCCCAGTCCCCACCTCACTGCAATTCTGTAGCAGGTCAGCAGCACAGCGCCATCTGAATTTAAAAGCGAAGTCTTTTCACCAGCACAGAGAAGACCAGCAGTTCTTGTGGTATACATTCACTTTGTTCAAGCCAGTGAGGCATTCTTTTTCTTTTTCTCAGGATAAAGCTGAAAATGAAAAACTGGAATTGCAAACATTGTGTGATAAAAAAACAGCATGAAAAATTTTCTTACTATTGCATGCTGCCAAAACTCAAGTCCTCACCCTAAAACCTGTGCCTCAGCACAGATATGTAAAGATCTATTCCACTGTGAGCGCAACTCAAAAATTGTGTCTTGAATCAATGACAGCAGGAACTCCATGCCATATTTCTCTCCTGCACTATACTACACATGCCTCTTCCATTCAAGCTGTTCCAATCATCTCTCTTTGTTCTTACACCAGTTCTTGGTAAGCTGAATGCCAACAGCATCTTCTGTTATCACACCAAAGCCAAGAAAGGAAAAGATTGCCCTTTAATAATTTTGAGACATCAGGCAAACAGTATTTCTCTAAGTATGTGTGGAAAGCATATATGGAAGATGACAGTATTTTTAGTTTCCTAATAGCCAAACCTCGCACAGATTCTTCTGGATTTCTGCCTTCTTCATGTTTCAGCACATTTCCCCTTCAGCACTGTTGCTGACTTCGACTGCCTGACAACATATGTCTTTTTCTGGCAACACAGCAAATGTAGACCAATCTATTATTAGATTAGATCTTTGAAACTGCAAAGCTTACGCTGTGTATGGCAGTAATACCCAAGCTTGGACGGCACAGGAAAGCGTGTGTAGGATGCAGGACCAGCATCATTTCGGTTTGCAAACAGCACTGATGTCTCCACGGGAGAAGAAAGCAGGCAGGGAAGGGTACTGGTTGGCCTCACCTGCAGGTCTGCACCAGACACGTCTCCTCAAGACATTTGGTCTCCAGGCCTGCCTAGATCCCAAGGGCGGGAACACTGGAATGAATGCAACTGCCACTGGCTGTGGGTCACACACAAAGCACACATTTGTGGGAAAACTGCTATGGGTCCTTAGGAAGTTCAGCACAAACGTTGGTCTTTAAGGAAGCCGCAAGTCCGATCTTCTCATTTATAAGGAAACTATTTAGATAATTGCTGCCTAGGCAGGGTAAAATACTGCAAAGCTGTTTGCTCTATGGAAAAGATCCTTCCCAGAAGCAGGTGGGCGGCTGGCCTCCCCCACGTCAGAAAGCATGGCCAAATGCCATTCAAGAGCAACATAATGCCAAGAAGTCTGGAGGTAACCCAAAAGTTTGGAAAGTAGCAGTCGAACTGAACGGGAATTAAGAAGCAGCAGTAGAAAGTTGATCTGAGTGAATACGAAAAACAATTTGTTGGGTTTTATTCCAGGCTGTCTCATTTCACATGTGCAGGCGTTTGTATGCTTCACTCTGTACGTTATCATCATAATACATATTCTTACTACAGAAAGACAGTCTCATGCTAATCATCTAATTCTTGGTGATCTTAACTTCTTTGCAGTTTTTTAAATAATGGCAAGAGGTGGATTCTACTACGACATATTGTGAAATGTATTTAGGAAAGCAGTAAAGAACACTTGTGCTGTTAATGCATTTTGACATGTTTGTGTAACATGTTAAGTACTTTACACCATCTAATTACAAGACTATACAGTCAAATGGCACTGAAAGTTGCAAACAGTGAAATGGTTGGTGTTTTCTAAACAGCATATTTGTTTGTTAGCCAAAACACTTTGCCATCTTTTTGGTGAGAGTGATAAAACACAGCCTAGCTGAACTCCAAAGACAAAAAAAAGCCCTTTGCAATAGGTGTCAGCTGACTTTCCACTCAACGCTTAGATCAGAAAGTGGTGGGTTCACTGTTCGTACAGTAATTTAATTCTGCAGCCTGATATTAGAAGGCTGTTGCCCTGTTAAAAGAAGCACTACTGTTCATATGAGCTGTTTAAACAAACTCCACGCTACCGTCCCTAGCAAGGGAAACAATAAAGATGTCAGAGCACTGTTAGAAGCAGTCGAAGGACAGCAGCAACATTCCTTCCAGTCATTAGTCGCGCTCAGATCTGGGACGGAGACATTAGCAAATACAATCAGCGACCGTCTAAAGAGTCACTGTGATAGCAGAGTTTGGTTCATTACAGAAAGTTAATCATTTTCAAAACCAACACAGAACAAAACTAACAGATTTGTGGCCAAGGAAAGCAAGTATTCATGAAAAGACAAACTCAGGGAAGTCCTACAGCCTGTGCTATGGCAAAACTTCCAACATGATAACCATGACGGTCTTGTCTAATCCATAATAATAACGACAGTTTAAGCCACAGATTACATTGCGTAAAGTTAAAAGGGGGGACCTTCAGTCAACCCCTCTCCTTGCTACTTTTCTGTAGCTGGGGAAGTTATCTTTATTTAGGCTTTGACACAACTGGGAGCAGAATAATAGAAAAATGATCAGCACTCAAAGAACAGAAGTCAAGAAAAAACACAAAAAGGATGACCTGCAA